TGTGTGTGTGTGTGTGTGTGTGTGTGTGCGTGCACGCGTTGTTTGTGGCAAGAGTGGTGTTTTATTTTGCCCAGAGGAAGTGGTGTATGTTTGCAGTGTCAGTGTGTGTGGATGTTGAGAGTTTGCCTAGTGTGTGTGGGTGTTGAGAGTTTGTCTAGTGCTTGTGGTCTCTTTTTGGTTTGGAGTCCCAACTGTGTGTGTATGTTTCATCAGAACTGTCATTTTTTCTTTTTAAACTAGCAATTTTACTATTATTCCAGTGCTGGGCAGCAAGTGGCTCTGGCCATGTACACATTGCAGTTAGATGTGGTTGTTATTTTCTCCTGAGTGCTTGAAGACCTTCTGGGAAGTTCAGCTTACGAGTTTGGAAGTCGTGATTTCAGCATGATGTGCATTCGAGTGCCACCGCAAATATAAGTGCACTGTAAAACACGCATCTGTGGATCAGATTGTTTAAAACTTGTTTATTAGGACTGTTTTTCTTGCTGACAGGCTTATAAGACTGATTTAAATGCGTCTGATTATGTTGCGTTCACATGCACAGCAGACATATCTGTTGTAAACATAATCTTGATTTGTTTATTTGATTAATTGTGCAGCTCTAGGACACATTAGGGAACTTATTAAGAAAGACAATGAGCTTTTTAAGGCCCTAATTCAACAAAATAGAGGGCAGGATGCACATTAGGTGTGTAAATGATACTTGCGTTTCGTCCTTTATGTGCTGCCACAGCAGATGGCAAATGTGGTACATTTCCTGTCTCCTCATAAGCTGCTAAATGAGTTGTATTTTCTGGCAAGCTTTATCACTATTCTTCATCAGTAGTCCACAGAATGCATGCAGAATAACTTTGTATAGTCAACATTCACAATTGAAAAAGAATCAAAACCAAGTTGCATCTGACCTGACAGAATGGACACAAACAGATTTGGTTATTTATTGGAATGACACCTGCAACTGACAACTGAATTCACTAAGAATTCATGCCGACAGCCAATTTTTCAGTTGGTTTCAAATGTTCAAAAGTAGAACAGGAACAAAGCAGAAGCATATCAGTCAGCATTTTCTCACCCCTGTGTCAAACGTAACCTGCATGACTTACTCTCTCCTCAGAAAAAAGATGATATTTTGAAAAAGTGTATATATACAATGGTATTTGTTTTTGTTCTTTTTGTGCACTTTTGACATTCATTCTATGGCCAAAACAGTTGAAACATTCAAGACGTTTTTTGTTCCACATGCAGAAGGGAAAAAAAATCATACAAAGTTTGGAGCAACATGAGGGTGATTAAAGGATGGCCGTTTTGGGTGAATTATCCCTTTAATGAGCAAATTAAATGGTGGACATCTGTCAGCTGTAGTTTACCAAGAATTACAGGATAATAATAATACATTTCTGGTAGCTAATGTTAGTTTCTTGAAAAACAACTCATGTTGCTATGGTTATCACCATATCCTGAGTTTAAGGTTTAAGGTTGACTGTACACAAAAGATCATTTAAGAGATTCATTCCCACAAATAAATTACTCTTTGGTAAGATTTTTCAAAGTGTTTTTGAAACAAGTCTCTTATGCTTACCAAGGCTGCAATTAATTACAGGACCAATTACTAATTTAATATAGTGAAAACATTTTTGCTTTTTTTTTTGTAGAAACTGTGATAGTTTTTTTTTGTTTTTTAGGAAAAAACAGCATTTATTTAAAATAGAAATCTTTTGTAACATTACCAATATCTAATGAGTCCTTGCTGAATAAAAGTATTATTATTTTTTTTTTTATCTTACTGAGCCCAAACTTTTGAATAGTGTTGTAGACCCATTTGTGTTTCCCGAAAATTTGCAATGTGTATGTGGCCTGTGAGAACTCTATGTGTGTGTGTGTGTCTGTCTCAGTCTAAACCCTGGAAGAAGTTAGTCAAATGAATCATCCATCATTCTTTATCACAGTGGCATAAATGATACCACTGCAATTCTGCTTCAAGGATGTGACCTCATCATGCCAAGTCACAGCTTGTGGGTTTTAGGTGAGTGAGTCAGTGTCAGCTGCCTTAATGTCTCACCGTCTCTTTCTGCAGTCTTCTCCTCTCTGTCTGGCCGGTGTTCATGCGGGTGTGGTCTCCAACACTCTGGGGGGGCAAATCAGTGTGGTCAGCAGCAAAGGCATCCCACACTACGAAAGCTCGCTGGCCAACAATGTGACATCTGTGCCGTGAGTAACCCATTTGCATTCTTGCTTGCTTTCTTCATGGGAAAATATATTTCATTTGATTACAGGGCTTGCAAGAGTGCAGTATTGAAATTCCTCTTTCTTAGTCTTTTCTGCAAATTAATTCCCTTTAACTGTGCAATGCAGTGGTTTTCCAATTTTTTGCCAAAGACCCTCCAAATATTGCAAGGAACCCCCTTTCTACAATATCTATCTATCTATCTATCTATCTATCTATCTGTGTGTAGGAGGAGGGAATATTTTTTTTAAATGTATATTAATTTTGTATAAAAAAATTAAAATATTATTAGGAAAGTTGACAGTGTATCTGAAATTTTAAATATATATATATATATATATAATATACATGTATATTTTTATACATATTCATTATAGTTTTTAGCAAGAATGGAATTAGTCTAATAAGTTTTCCAACAAGAAAAAAACGTCTATATTTTTCTTGAACTTGTAATTACAAGTTGGAAAGTAAATTTTATCAAAGCTTTGACTTAAATATATTATAGTCGTTTTTTTGTTCTTCAGTATTTCACAAGAGCGTACAGAGGTGAATTAATGTAGTGAATTAAGTACCGTCATAAACAACAAAGCAGCACATGGATCTGTCTTTTCATTATGAATCGTGTGTTGCCATAGAAACGAATACTTTCTGAGTCAGAGGACCTGAACTGCTCTAAATTGTCATCTGGTAATTATAGTAATTCCGACATGACGTGAACACAGCTTAAGCGACAGCTTAACATTTGCATATTGGATGCATTTATTTGCAGCTATCTATGATTGTTTACACCGTGAAGATGATCTTGCGTTGTGTGTTGCTTCTCATGCACAGCTGGTGGAAAACTAGATGCATGCTGTGTGCAAAACATCTCTGATGCTGCATTTCATTTGCTCAGAATCAAAGCCCAAAACCTCAACTTATTAAAGCATTTTGCTGCCTTGCAAGCACTGGCATTTCTTTCTGGAAATGCAAATCTAGTTAGATTTGATTCCGCTCTTTGGTTGAGTTTTTTTCCTTCTATGTAATAAACTGATTGATTAGTAGACAGAATGATAACTCTGCATCTCTCTCCCTCTTACAGTGGAAATCTCTCCCCAAGCCTCTTTACTTTCAAGACTAGTGGTAAGTGAATCAGTAATGTATCAAACCTATTGTCTCTACTATTTGCAGAATGCTTTGTTTTGGCCAAATTGTAAAAAAAAAAATCTGTTAAAATAACTTGAAGATTTAATAAAGACGTTTGTTCTTTATTCCTGTCAGTTCTACAGAAATGCCCAACACCTTGATGATCTAATAATAGAAGCTTTCATTTTCTCTCTCTCAAGGTTGCTATGGCACTTTGGGTTTGGAGTCGGGGGTGGTCAGTGACTCTCAGATCACAGCCTCCTCAGTGTGGGAATGGGGCAGTCATGGAAAGGAGCCCTCTGCCTGGGGCCCCATGGGGGCTCGCCTCAAAACACCAGGACGTCCGTGGGCAGCAGCCAACAGTGACACAAAAGAATGGATTCAAGTGGACTTAAAGAAGGAGAAAAAAATAACAGGTAGAGTTTGTGTGTGAGAGAGAAAGAAGGATCAGTGTGTTTGCGTCTGTATCTTGATTGGTCAGTCATTCGACTCTGCTTCTCAGGTATTACCACCACTGGCTCCACCCTCCAAGAATATCAGTTTTACGTTTCAGCCTATGAGGTGTTATATAGCCATGACGGACAGCAATGGAAACCCCATCAAGAAGTTGGATCAGATAAAAATAAGGTATGGAGGATTGTTTGTATCGTGTTAGCTTAGCTCTGTTCCATAATCTTTTAAGACAGCATTCTAACCAACATTAACTTTATAAATGACTGATTTGGAATGTTCTACATTGGAAGCAACATTTCAAAATAATAATAATTTCAAAAGATGATGTTTGATGTTAACCTGATGCTAAGACGTGGTACCTAAAAATACAAATATTGGGTAAAAGTTTGGATTAAATTTTATTTTCCAATTTATTTCAAGTATTAGATGAAATCTAGGTTTACAATTTATTTTGCCCTATCCGCCATCTTATATTTTATTTTATGCATTTATATTCTATACAATTTTATTTATTGCAATTGAATTAGGCCAAAACAAGACGTCTTGAAAGGCACCATACTTTGATTAGCATATCCAGCTCTGTAGGTTTTGAAGCAGAGCATATGTTTTGTTGTCTGTTCTTCTTTTGTGTTTGGTGGTTATTTGGCGGTGGTATCGGAACTGCTGCAGAATGACATCACGGTTTGTATATTTCCAGGAAAAAGGGTTTTTACATTCCTGAGGTTTAAGGAGCCTGAAATTAAAGTGCACTCTGTGGTCATTAATAATGAATGTCCATCGACTGTCAGGGAGCTTAACGAGAAGCGCATTGATTAGGCGTAAATAAGATGGACCTTGGTCTGGGGCCAAATGTTCTTTGTTGCCAAGGCAATGTGTCCTTGTGTCTCTGTAACAGATTTTCCAAGGCAACACCAACTATCTCCAGGAAGTGCGGAACAACTTTATTCCTCCAATTGAAGCGCGCTTCATCCGAATATGTCCCTTGCAGTGGCACCAGAGGATCACCCTTAAAATGGAGCTGCTGGGCTGCCAACCTCATGCAGGTGAGAATAATCCGAGAAATCGGACTCCGATTCGGCCAATTAGCTATGCTAAACATGATTGGATCTCTTTCTGTTGGTCAGCGAGGCCAAGAATCTTCCATCCAGCCCCTCCTCCCCCTCGCAGAAAAAGCACAGTGCCCCCCCTACAGGAGAGGACAACACACACACCCAACATCCGAAACACCACCATGCCTCCGCACTCTCACGATGGTAAGAACACACTTCATTCAGTTATTTAACAAATGAGCTTTGTTATAAACCTCAGTGAGCTGCCGTTCTGTCTATATAGGCATCTTCTTTCTTAGGGGCCTTTCATTCACACAGATTGCACTTTTTGGTTTAAAAATGTAAGGCAATGGAATGACAAAAAACTCATGGCCTCAAGTTTTTTTTTTCTTTTAACTTGACCACTGGGTTATTATAATCCTGTCATAAGCAAGCAGTGAATGCAATGGTCAAACACTTCTGTCTAGCACTTTTACATAAAAAATAAATGAAAAAGCAGCACACTGGAAGGCTAAAGCATATTCTGTGTGAATGGCCCCTCAGGCAGCATTCTTTGTGAAATGTAACCTCATAAATTACTTATTTTAATTTGTTTTATGTAGGCAACAAACACTCTTTTCATTTGATTCTCATATGAAGTGCACTCACTTAGGATTCTCATTTTAGCATGTTGCTAAGTTAACAATGATTAAAAAATACAAATCACATGCAAAAATTGGGTGAAATAGCCAAATTCTAATTAGTTTAATCTATCCTTCATTACTGTTTAGTACTGAATACAGTATTTATTATTAGTATTATTTTCAGTATTTTGAATTTAGTTTTACATTTTTTTCATTTATTTAGACAAAACAGTATTAATTGACACTAGATTAATGTTATTAATGTAACAGAGGTGGCTCTGGTGGCAGTGTTGGTTCCTGTATTGGTGGTGGTTCTGACAATGCCTGTGTTGGTCATGGTGTGCTCGTGGCTGTGGAAGAACAGGTCAGTAAAAACATTTCAATATCTCAACAAAATGTTTGATCCAAATAGTTGAAAAAATCACCAATAGATCATTCTGCTACAATACAGTAGTCAACATTTGAAATGGATCAATAAAGTTCATCAAAGTTGTCCTAAGGCAAGAACGGGTATTGTTTTGGTTTTACGACAACTTTGATGAAAGGTTTTGATCCACTTCAAACTTTGACTACTTTATTTTAGCCTAATATTAAAACCTTGTTATTCATGAAAATGTAAACTAAAGGTCTTGCACACTGGGTCTGAAATTTTTGTATGCGTTATTTTGTGGGGGGGGGGGGG